TGGTCATCACCACCTCCTTACCCCCGCCTCCCCCTCTCCATGTCCCCCCGGAACCATTGGTCCCATTGTTTTCTCCTCCAGACTATTCATCCAGTCTATCTTATCTAGATAGATCTGTAGAGATAATAATATGCATCAAAAACTAAGCCATAGCAAGACAGGCGATCAGTGAGAACACTAAGTGATTTTAAGGAAGTGCCAACAGGAAATATCTGAGCAGTGATTCAGGCCCAAATCCCAGCTCGGCAGGCTCTGTGACCTTGGGCAAGTGACTTCATTTGTCAAAGCCTCCAATGATAAAATTGTCATTATCACAATATTTACCTCATAAATGTCGTCCTCTGTGCTGGGGCTCCAAACTCAATCCTCTCTCTTCTGGGCTAAAAGCAGCAGTAGCTACTTGACCGCCAGAGGCATCTCAGGGAGGGGGGTTCCATGCCCATGAATTCTGTGTGCCTCACGAGCAGGAAGTCCCCTGTGTCCGAGGGTGGCAGTCTTAGGCATCTAACCTGCCCTGGCTGTTGCTATTGCACAGACACATGAGGTTCTGATGGGCCCTTTTTTGTGCAGGGCCTCCTCCACCAGCTGTGCAGTCACGCACACCCTTACATTTACTGCTGGCTCCCAACAGTGGGATTCTATGCACTGTGGTCTCTAACAAGGAGCCCTGCTGGCAGTGTGGGTTTGTGTTGGACTGCTAAGCACAAGGTCAGCAGTTCAAATCCACCACCCTCTCCTGGGAAGAAAGATGAGGAGGCTATCTGCTCCCTCAAACATTTCCAGCCTTGGAAATTCTCTCCGGGTCTAGAGTTTAACTCTGTGAGTTGGAATCTGCTCCACGTCAGTGGTGGGTTACAGGCTCCAACAACGAAGGAGGGTTTTCTTTCTCTGTGTCTACAGGTGGACACCCATATCCACGCAGCTGCCTGCATGAACCAGAAGCACCTGCTGCGCTTTATTAAGCAGTCTTACCAAGTTGATGCTGAAAGAGTGGTCTACAGCACCAACGGGGAAAATCTCACCCTCAAGGAACTTTTTGCGAAATTAAAAATGCATCCATACGACTTAACGGTCGATTCTCTGGATGTTCACGCTGTAAGTTGAGAAGACGAGAGTTTCATGACCTAGAAGGAAGGTGGGGAGTGGAGGGGAGGAAGGGGGAACCTTTCGGGATGCTTGACATGTAACCACACACCTCTCCCCCTCCAGGGGCACGAACGTCAGAAACCATGGGGGCAGGGAGACAGTGGTCCGTGTAAGAGTAAAAAATAATAATAATTTATAATTTATCAAGGGGTCACGAGGGTCGGTGGGAGAGGGTAAAAAGAGAAGCTGATACCAAGGGCTCAATAGAAAGTAAATGTCTACCACTGGACATCCCCTTACAGAAGGGTCTCTGGGAGGAGACGAGCCAGTCAGGGTGCGATGTAGCAACGATGAAACATACAACTTTCCTCTAGTTCCTAAATGCTTCCTCTTCCCCCACTATCATGA